TGGAGACGAAAGCAGACGACAGAACATTGCTAGAGAGTAGGAAATGAGGTGAAAGGAGACAAATTTAGAGAAGAAAATTTTTTTGGTCGCTTCCCGGATTCGAACCCGGGACCTTTGAAAGAGAGGCGAACACCTTAACCTCTAGGCCACGAGAGCCCCCTATATAACAGTACAAAGACCAAAATATATCACAGTACAAAGACCAAAATATATCACAGTACAAAGACCAAAATATATCACAGTACAAAGACCAAAATATATCACAGTACAAAGACAGCAAAAAAACATAACGGTATAAAAACTGCCAAAATTCATTTTGAAAAAAAAAATGAAAACCACAAATATTTCCCAACCCCAGGATACAATTTCCATCAATTAGGAGAAAGTTTTCTTCAAATCTACCTGGCAGGACCGACCTGTATGTTTGGGGGGGGGGGGGTGTTAGTCTAGTGCATCCCTGAAGACCGACCCACTGCTCAGTAACGTACCTGTTGGACAGAGTGGACCAGCGGTTGGTCAGTCTCTCCAGCTGTCGCCGCAGCTGCCAGGTGTCCTCCTCAGAGTAGTTGTCCAACAGTTGTGTCCCTTGTGTCTTCAGCGAGTCCACCACAGCTTGGTGCTCCGACAGTTCCTTCTGGAGCTTCTGCCGGGGCGACACAATGTAGGTTGGTGGGTTTGGTGTTTGTGTGTTTGTGTGTTTGAGAACAGAGAAGTACATTGATCATCATCAATAATTATTTATAGGACACACATGTTTGTTTGTTTGTCTGCTTGTTTGTTTGTTTGTTTGTCTGCTTGTTTGTTTGTTTGTTGGTCTGTTTGTTTGTTTGTTTGTCTGCTTGTTTGTTTGTTTGTCTGCTTGTTTGTTTGTTTGTTGGTCTGTTTGTTTGTTTGTTTGTCTGCTTGTTTGTTTGTTTGTTTGTCTGCTTGTTTGTTTGTGTGTTTGTGTGTTTGAGAACAGAGAAGCACATTGACCATCATCAATAATTTATTTATAGGACACACATGTTTGTTTGTTTGTTTCTTTCTTTGTTTGTCTGCTTGTTTGTTCGTTTGTCTGCTTGTTTGTTTTTGTTTGTTAGAGTAAAGAGAAGCACATTGACCATCATCAATAATTTATTTATAGAGGCACTCGACATCCATGTCCAGGCGCCGGTTTAGCCAAGCACACTGACATAAGAACGGTCATGGTGCAGGGAAGACGCAAGATGGAGAGACAGAAACAACAGAGGAAACCAAAAAAAGTAAGGCTAACAGTGACGTCCTCCAACCATCAAGGACAAGAGACAGATGTGGACATTAGAGATAAAGAACAAGTGACAAACTCTGTGGCAGTGACAAATTGCTGAGATAAAGAACAAGTGAACAACTCTGTGGCAGTGACAAACTCTGTGGCAGTGACAAATTGCTGAGATAAAGAACAAGTGACAAACTCTGTGGTAGTGACAAATTGCTGAGATAAAGAACAAGTGACAAACTCTGTGGTAGTGACAAATTGCTCTCTCAGAATTACAAAGTGCTATTTGACATTTGTGGCTCTTTTGAGTTGCTAAGACCATGAGGCCAGAAACCAAATGCTGTATCTGCTCTTTGAAAATCATAAGATTATTCAGCTAGTCCTGATGTATGACGGTATTGACCACAGGACACACGACAGTACTGAGCACACGACACCGACCACATGGCACATGACAATGACACACGACACTGACCACATGGCACACGACACTACTGACCACACGACACACGACACTGACCACATGGCACATGACACTACTGACCACATGACTAGCTGCCAACATGTCTTTGTCCTGCTGCGTCTGCACTTGATCCAGCTCGCCCTCGGCCGCGGACAGCCACTGTTCCAGCCCGGCGTAGGACTGGACAAACGTTCTGGAACTCTCCAGCATTCCCTCCAACACGGACTTGCGCTGTGTCAGATGCTCACCGGTCACCATCCAGTCAGACTGCAACTTCTCCGCTGTTGGGGGAGGGGGGGTGGGTGGGTTGAAAACAAATTACGAGTTCAGTCGATCACACACATAGCCAATAACAATTGGAATATAGAATTTGCGAACCCTCTACAAACCATGGAACTTAGAGAACCGAATAAAAGAAGCAAGCGAGCTGGACACAGATAGTTTAGGTACATCAGAATCTCGTTGGACCGATGATGGTGTAATAAAGAAAAATGGCTTCACCTTCATGCATTCTGTTGGCTCACTACATGGAGTAGGAATATTACTGCAAGAAAAGCTTGAGAAACAGATTATGGGATACTGGCCAGTAAGCGAAAGAAACATCCTACTGAAAATGTAATAAAAACTGTTAAACATCGCAATACTTCAGACATATGCCCCAACCTTCACATATGACGATGAAAAGATTGAGGATTCTGTGAGAGATAGGAGTAAGAGCTGTACTCACTGCGGTCCTTCAGGGCTTGCCTGTCGCTGGGGCTGTCGATAGAACTCTGTAGCTGGCTGGACAGGCCGCTCACCTGGTCCAGCTGTTTCTGTCTCACCTGCATCTCATGGAGCTGGTTCTGGTAGGGCAAAGGGTACAGTGTTTAAAAACAGATGTGTCAGGACGTGGTGCAATCAGGCGCTCGTCAATTTTTGGGCATATGGGTTTATTGGTACCATCTTAAAGCCTGTTCATTTGTCTTCCTTTTGGTGAATAAAAATACCCATCTATCTTGAATAGAAGTCGAGATATTTGCAATTGAAAGAGGTCAGGGTCGCCTGGTTTCAGAGGTAAAATTAGCGAGAAAATGGCGGCCAAAGTTGGTAGCTTCTATCGCCTGAGAGTCTTTGGAAACTGAAAATGTATATTTCTGTGCCTTTAATCAATGTTTTTCAGTAAAATCCACACAGAAATGTCTTTTTCAACGGACATAAAAAGTGTTGAACCCAAAAAAAGCAAATTTGAACAAAATTTTCCATCTGCCAAAAAACCTGCACTTCTTTGATTTATATTATTTTGACGAGTGCCTGTTGTTTTCACCACGATGCCTCACACATGTTAGACGTACACATTGCTGGTTCTCGTGGGTCAAGGAATACAGTGTTAAAAACAAACATTAGGTGTCCACATTGTCGGTTCTCAAGAACTGACCTGTAGAGACAATTCTACAGCACAGAGGTAAAATGTTCAGGATTATAAAATTCTTCTTGTCAAACCGAGTCAAGACTGAGATGATCTCACCATTTTTTCTGTCTGAGAGCTTATTTCACCATTTACAATCTTGCCTGTTCTTCAAGTTCAAGTTCCCCTCCAACATTGTAACCCACAGGAAACTGTAAGTAATTTTTTGTTCTCTGAGGCATGATAAACCCCCTAGGTCTGAGACATGTATAATGCAAGTCCTCCTGCTTCATCTCAAATAACAAGAAACAACAAAAGAGTAGTGAATTAGTGAGAGAGAGAGAGAGAGAAAGAGAGAGAGAGAGAGAGAGA